TGTTTGGGGTGGGAGATGTGGGTGCAAGAACTAGGGAGAGGCAGCTTTTCATGGGAGAAAGACATCCCTCTGTGCCCGACTCTCAGCTTCTGGTGTTAGGAGCACTCCAGGTGACCTGAGGCTGGGTGTTCAGTGGATAGAACAAAGGATGGGGAGTCTGGAGATGCGAGTTCTAGTTTCGACCTTGCTACATGCCCTGTGCCTTTGGAGAGGGCCTCTCCTGTGATGCATTCATGCCTGGCCCTGTTGCAAATGGGTAACCATCCATTCTGGGAACCCGTCTGAAGGATCTACTCTGCTGTTCTAGTGGGCCCCAGGGGGTCTTAGGAGGCATACGTCCCAGGGCCTGCTTACTGGAAGGCAGATATCCTTTTGGTCATTCAGCAAATACTTTATTTATGGAGCACCTACTATAGGCCTCCTGGATGCTGGGAATCAGAGGCACATGATACTCCCGAGGGCCCCACCTGCTCTTAGGACGGGTGCAGTCTGGTGAACCAGTGTACAATGCATTTTCAAATAACAGGGCTGCAAAGGAAATAAAACAAGGCAATGAGCTAGAAGCAAGACTGGAATGTCGGGAAGAGCACGAGTGAGCCAAGGTGAGTTCATTAGGACACAGTGGGAGGATGGCTATCAGAGTAACCGCACCTGTGCGAGGAAGACGTGGCATTCAGAGAGGGAGTCTGACTCCACCAAAGGCAAGCCAGGAAGGCTTCCCAGAAGCAAGGATGAACCAATGTCATCATTATCATGGCAGCTGCCATTCATGGAAATCTACTCTGTGCCCACCCTCACAGCTGGCAAGAGTCTTGGTCCTCCTTTAACAGACAAGGAAACAGAGGCTCAGAGAAGGGATTCTCTTGCCCAAGGCTGCAGAGTGTGCGGGTGGGCAGATGAGAGTTCCATCCAGCCTGCCTGACTCCAACAGCTCCTCCCTACCCCTGCCAGGATGCCATGGTGCTGATGTGGACCTTGGGAGCAGGAAGGGACTCGGAATCTTTTCAGATGGCATGGTCAAGTGCTCTCGAGGCCTCAGGCTGAGCTTCAGAACACTGGTTGTGAAGAAAGCCGAGTTAAGGGAGTTCTGGCCCGAGCCCCTTCTGTTTCCTTCCCTCCCATCTCTTTGCCCAGTGAGTCTCAGGACTCTGACCATTAGCACCCATGTGGTCTTAGCTAGGAAACAGGAATGTCAGCTGCTTTCTTGACCCCCCCAGCTTGAATGCGGATACACATCGTTCACTGTCAGCTTCATCAGCATGACCACCTCTGCAGCACTAGGCAAAGTCCTCACTCCCTCACCGCCTGCATCCCATTACGGAACAGTGGTAGAGCTGGCATTCAAACCACTGTTGGTCCAGCTCCACAGCCCAAACTTCACAGCCCATGCGCTAAAGTCTATGTTGCTTAAGATCCTTCCCTTGCATCCTCTGCACATGCCCCTTCCCGGCCCTCCATAAAAAGGACAGTAATACAGTAGAACGTCTCTACCGGTAGCTACTGTCCTAGGTCCTATGTAGACATTACCTTATTTTGCATCACAGCACTTTGGGGTAGGAACCATGTTTATCCCTATTGTATGGATGTGAAGACTGAGGCTTGGAGGAGTCAAGTCACTTATGTAGGAACCTACAACTGGCAGTTTTGAGATTTGGCCCTAGGATGATCCAACTTCCAAACCTCGTACTTGGCCCTTCTGCTCCAGTGCTTCTCATGTGGGGGAGCTCACCAACTCCAGGGGATCCCCCTTTCTTGTTGGCCGGCAGCAGGAGTCACCTCCCTCTCTAAAGCCACAGCTGTCCCCTTGTGACTTGCTGGACCTGTCAGTTCCAGTTTTATCTTAGGCCTCACAGAACTTGAGACTTTTTTTTGCCCTGTGGTGTCCTGCAGCTAGGTGGGGCTGTGCTCCCCTCTGGGGGATCAGGGGAACTCTAGGTCATGATATTGTCCCCCACAGAGGTGGCATCAACCCACAAAGCCAGGGAACCTCCTGTTCTGCTCCCCCACGAGCACCTTCGTTTTGACTCTGTTCTGGATGCTGAAGGTCAAGGATGTGTGACGTGGGGTGGCCTCGGCTGTGGCTGAGGAGGCTGTCCTCTGCGACTTTCTCTCCCAGTCCAGGCTGCCTGCCTTAGGTCCCCGTCCCACCTCGTACTATCCATGTGACTTTGGGTATATTATCTCACCTCTCAGTGCCACAGTTCCTAGACTGTAAAATGGAGAGAATACCAATATTTTCTTCCTAGAGTCACTGCTAAGGAAGAAAGGAATTAGTGTTCTGTTAGAACAGTGCCGGGCACTTAAGTGTAAGTGTTTCTTAAATAAATGAAGGAAATGAATTCTGAGGCGATGGAATCATGCAGTTTTACACTTCCTTACAGCAGAGAAGGGCAAAAGCTCGGACAGTGTGTCTGGTGCCTCTGATGGGGCAGACGCATGAGGGTGAGGCATCGCTGGGTGCCAATGAAGCTCTAACCGTGTGTCATTATTAACAACGGTAATGGTGACCGTGTCCTGAGAGCAGTGCCAGGCCAGGTGCTATGCTGAGTACTTTCCATGTGTTTGTTGATTTAAATCTGCATGACAACCCCCTTAGCTCCATTTTGCAGTTGGGGAAACCAAGGCTCAGAGGTTAGGTGGCTGGCTCGAGGCCCACAGCGAGGAAGTGGTTGGCACGCTAGCCCTTGCTCCTGACTGGTTTTCCCAGTCTGCCTTCACACTTACGTTCCACATGAGTCCTGGCCTCCTGTGTGAGTCGTCTTGGGCTGCTGTTAACAGAACGCTGTGGGATGCTACGCCTACTGCCGTAGGCCTCATTAAACAACAGAAGTGCATTTTCTCACAGTTCTGGAGGCCGGAGGTTGTGATTAGCTTGCCAGCACAGTTGGGTTCTGGAGAAGGCTGCTTCCTGGCTGCAGAGGGTCACCCTCTCACCGTAATCTCACGTGGGAGAGAGAGCAATCTCTTTCTCTTCCTACAAAGCCACCAGTCTCCTCATGAAGGCCCCTCCCATGTGACCTCATTTAGCGACACTTAACCTCCCCAAGTCCCTATCTCCAGATCCAGTCGCACTGGGGGTTAGGGTTTCACCCTACGAATTGGGGGCACACAGTTCAGTCCACAGCACCCCCTCATGGTCTCCCTCATTAGCTGGGGCCTTCCCTCTCTCTCTGCTCGGTTTCCCAGCCTTTCTCCACCCTGGGGGAAAGCTGAAGCTGGGAAGGACAGCAGATGTGATGAAACCCATGCTCCAATTATAATGGGGGCTGCTGAAACCCAAAGAGGAGAAGCCTCTTGCCCAACGCCACACGACAAGCCTCCATAGATCGAGGACCACAGCCTGGGTCCCTGAGTCCCAGCCCAGTGCCTCTGTTATGCTGCAGTCGGAATGCTGGCATTCCTGGCCTGGGTGTGCCTGGAGTCTGGGCCTTGAAATTCACAGACCACACTCTCCTCTGGAGCAGTAGAGAGGCAGGCATGGCCAGGGCAGTGTCTCTGGGCCTGGAACATGACTTGATTGCCCAGTATGTGCACGCCTCGGCTTCCCCACTGTACAGAGAGCAGTCAGGGCGATGCTTCCCTTGTCAGAAGGCTGTGGGGCCCTTTGGATGATAACGTGGACTGCTGTGTTGAAAGGATGATGCTTCAGGAGTGGATGGCAGGGACCTGGCTTCCTGCTTTGGCCTGTCCCCAATTTTATGTCTGGCCTGAGCAAGTCACAGCTCTGCTTTAGGCCTTACTGTCCCCCTCATGAAGGCCTTCAGTGACCCATGCCCTGCCTGCTTCAGAACCGACATGAAAACATCATTGAGGATGTTTTCCAGTGTTTGAAGAGCCCCCTCCCTGCCACAGTGTTGGCTCTGTGACCTCTCAACCCAGTGTCTTTTTGAATTGGAGTTTCCCATTTGTAAAACAGGAGCAGGGAAGAGCCTGGACAAGATCCCAAGCCTTCTTCCTGGGAACGAAGGGAACAGCACTGGATACTGCGCACATCAAAGCACTGAAACCCTTACCGCCCAAAGCCTAGTTTGAAGCCCAGCAGCCCTGGCCGTACCTGGGAGCTTGTTAAAAATACAGAATTTGGGCCTGGTGTGGTTGCTCACACCTATAATCCCAGCACTTTGGGAGGCCAAGGCGGACAGATCATGAGGTCAGGAGATCGAGAACATCCTGGCTAACACAGTGAAACCTCGTCTCCACTAAAAATACCAAAAATTAGCTGGGTGTGGTGGCAGGTGCCTGTAGTCCCAGCTACTTGGGAGGCTGAGGCAGGAGAATATCTTGAATCCAGGAGGTGGAGGTTGCAGTGAGCCAAGATCGAGCCCCTGCATTCCAGCCTGGGCGACAGTGAAACTCCATCTCAAAAAAAAGAAAAGAAATGCAGAATCTCTGGGTGAGGCGTGGTGGTACAGTGCCTGAAGTCCCAGCCACCCAGGAGGCCGAGGTGGGAGGGTCGCTTGAGTGCAGGAGCTTGTTCGTGTTCTGCCTGCGCAACATAGTGAGACCTGTCTCTAAAAAGGAAAACAAATGCAGACTCTTAGGCCCCACCCCAGAACAGCTGAGCCAGAATCTGCATTTTGTCAAGATTCCCAGCCGATCTGTATGTACACTGAAGTCCAAGAAGAACTGATTTTAACCAGCTGGAGGTGCCCTTTTAGGTCACTTGTAACTCCAGTTATGATAAGTGCAAACAAATCAGTGGCAAGCAAGCCAGCTGGGCACATCTAGACCTCTTGAGACCTCAGCTTCCCCAACTGTAAAATGGGCAGAGTTGGAGTCTTTCTTGCTCGATGGTGTTCAAACTGTGCTCCTTAAAGCCTTAGGGTTTCCTGGAGGAGCCTCAGGGGTAGCCACGGGGGTCTTGTGGAAGGCTAAAGGGGTCGGGGTGGGGGGCTAGCATTCATTATGCACACAGCCTTCATGTTCCTGGGGTGCCATGGGCTGATGGGCTCCTGTGTAGCTCTGGAGGAAGAAGGTGTTGAACGGACTCTCTTTCCCAGGGAGCGCTTGAAGCGCAGCCAGAAGAGCACCAAGGTGGAGGGCTCAGAGCCAGCGTCAGCCGAGGCCTCGCTGAGTGCCGAGCAGGGAACGATGACGGAGGTGAAGGTTAAGACAGAGCTGCCGGACGACTACATCCAGGAGGTGATCTGGCAGGGCGAGGCCAAGGAGGAGAAGAAGGCGGTCGGCAAGGATGGGACCAGCGACGTGCCCGCCGAGATCTGCGTGGTGATCGGCGGCGTCCGCAACCAGCAGACCCTTGGTGAGTGCCCTGCCTCTGTGGTCAGGGCGGAGACCAGGGTGGGAACATGGGGTCGGAGTCCTGGAGAGAAGGGGCCTGGCGCCTCTGCCCCCTCCCTGGCTGCGAGAACCTCTGCTGGCCTCCCTCTGCCTTCAGGGAGAGCGCTCAGCTTCTTAGACTTGCCTTTGCTTGTGTAGTTCCTGGCTAGAGAGCCTTTTTTATTGTGCTGGACAGCAGGACCCTACCCATCCATCAGTGCCCTGTTTAAGTCAAAGCCTGGAACCTTCTGGGGGCCCAGTGAATCCCTATGTCTGTCTTAGGGCTCCCATAGTCCTGGGGGGTCCCACACAGCCCTTACTCCTCGGTATCCTAAATGCTTCTCTGCTTTTCTCCCTCCTGGCGGGAGGGAGATCCCAGTGCCGGTGCTGCTCAGGGCAGATACCCCATCAGGATTGGATCATTGACAGATGGCGCCTCCCCTGCCTCTTCTGGCCTGGGCCAGGCCCAGAGCAGCTGTGGAAACTCACATCTTAGCAACGATTTCTCTGCTCCAGTCTCCAGCATGAGCCAGGGGATACCCCTCAGGGGCTCCCTGCACTGCTGCCAGGTTCATAGACTCAAATGCCCACAAGGCCCAACAGATATGTGTATTTAGCATAAATAGAGATGAACCAACAGGACAGGTGGTGGGGACCGTGTCCAGTTAGGGAACGCACGCCGCGCATGTGGAGGGCGGCCGCTGCTCAGCTGCTGCGCTGACTGCTGTTGCTGGGTGGGGACGCGGCTCAGCGTTGCCATGTCGCCAGACAAATCTACACACCAGAAATGAACATTTTGATGGGAATTCTTTTGGCTTTCAATGTTGGCAACCAACTGACCTTTTGAAATCTGCCAAACAAAACATATCCGTGGGTCAGAGTCCCTGTGGGCACACGTTTGCAACCTAAAGTCCTCGTTCCTGGCATGGCGGCCAGAAAATGGTCTGGCCCCAGACTTTTGCTTTCTTCCACACCCTCCTCCATGTTTCCAAGGCTCAGTGTGTTCTTAGAAGTGCTGCTGCCACCCCAGCCTCTGCTGCCTTCCTGGTCCAGCTCTGGCTCACCTGCATCTTTCTGGCGCGCCTCCTGTATGCAGCACACACGGCCTCGTTTCTGCAAGTTTAGATTCAAACCCTGTTGCCTTTTCTTCCCAACTGCTGGGAATCGTCCCCAAACTCCCTTTCCCAGCTGTTCCCTGCTGCCTGTGACCATCTCGGCCCCTCCTGGGTCATGGCAGCATCCTGCTAACAGCCATGCTTTTGCGTCTTACCAGCCCTCTGCCCGGCTGCCAGGAGGCCTTAGCCAAAACACAACACCAACCATGTAGCTCCCCTACTTGTAACCCTGGGACTCCCTACTGTCCTCAGAGTCGAGGCCAGAGCATTAAGAGGCTCCATAACCTGAACCTTCCAGCCCCATTTCTTGCTTCTGGTCTTCCCATACAGTCGGCTCTTCCTGTATTTTGTGTATGTTGTTGCCTCTCCCAGGAATGCCTTCCCCCATTTCCACTTGCCCAAATCCAACCAAACCTTCAAGGCCAATTCCAATGCTACCTCCTCTCCGAAGACTTTCTTTTTCTTTCTCTTTTTTTTTTTTTTTGAGACAGAGTCTCACACTGTTGCCCAGGCTGGAGTAAAGCGGTGTGATCTCAGCTCACTGCAACGTCCGACTCCTGTGTTCAAGCAATTCTCCTGCCTCAGTCTCCTAAATAGCTGGGATTACAGGCTATTTTAATCTGGATCCAGAGGGGAGCAGAGCTCCCTCTTGATTATTACGAGACCACCATCACACCTGGCTAATTTTTGTATTTTTAGTAGAGATGGGGTTTCACCATGTTGGCCAGGCTGGTCTCGAACGCCTGACCTCAGATGATCCGCCTGCCTCGGCTTCCCAAAGTGCTGGGATTACAGGTGTGAGCCACTGTGCCTGGCCCGGAGGACTTTCTTGATCTCTTAAGGTGAGAGTGGGCTATTTCTACGCTGCTCCTCAGTTGGTGTACTTTCTACTTTCTATTTAGATTAGAGCGGCCCTGCCTGTGCCTGTCTCTTCCATGAAAGTGGAAACCCCTAGAGATTGGGGCTCCAGGACCTGCCAGATTTAGGTCTCCATGCTCCCTGCCTACACGCCCCAATCCAAACAAAGTATTGGTTTCTGGGAGTGGTGATGTTGACATTGGTGCTGCAACTCTCAGGGTGGGGCCAGGTTATACTGCAGTAACAAAAGATCCTGAAAGGTACAAGATATCTTGGTGGCTCAAAACCACAGCAGTTTATTTCTTGTTCACACTACATGTCCATTGGGCGTCAAGAGGGAGCTCTGCTCCCCTCTGGATCCAGATTAAAAGCTGTCATGTAGAATGCTGCCAGCCAAGTGACAGAGGGAGAGCACGCTGTGGAGGGACTTAACGCTGGCAATTAACTGCTGCAGCCAGAGAGAGAGACGTCAATTCTGCTCACAGTTCTTGGCCGGGACTAGTCACACGGCCCCACCCAACCTCAAAGAGGCTGGGAAATGCCATCCTCCCAAGTGATGGAATAGGGGTGAACCAGGAATGTTTAGGGAGGAGCAGGAGTGACTTAGGCGAGTACTGAATGAGAGAGTGAGTCTTCAGGGGCCTGCACTGATGCTTCTCCGCCAGTGTTCACTCCCCTAGGCCAGGGACTGTCTTAATCACTGGTGGATTTGTTAGTTAATGGAGAAGACCTGCCCTTGCTCTCTGTGGTATGTGTGTGTTAAGACTCATTAGAGCCAGTAGCTGTTTCTGCCCTTCACCAGGAGATGCCCGGTGAAGGGTGGTTGAATCTGAATCCTGGGATAGAGCCAGTGGTCTGGATTCAGTGGGAAAAGCCCTGGGCAGCTAGGCCAGGGAAATGCTGGGAATCTTCCTTAGGCCAGCTGCTTGCACAGTGAGAGCCCCAGGGCCTGTGAGCCTCATGCCAGCCATCAATGCTGGTTTCCAGCTCAGCTGCTGCTCAGCAGTGGGTCCTTGGCCTCACTGTGCCTTAGTGTCCTCCTGTGTTACATGAGGCATGGTCCCTGTCCTGGCCACCTCATGGGTGTGGCCATGCAAGGTGGCAGTGGAAGGAAACAGTATTGCCTGAGGAGAATGAGCTGAGATCCTTAGCCTGGGAGCGAATCCAGGCTCCATGACTTAATAGGTGTGCCACCTTGGACCCTATCTGTCGCTGTTCTTACAATTAATTACAAAATCACCAGGCTATCTGAATATTCAATGAGATAATGAATGCAAAGTGCTCAACATTGTATGTAGCAAACAATTAGCTATGACTCTTAGTAGTACTAATATTAATAGTGTACAGTGCGTCTTCAAGAGGAAGGAATAGTCGTCGTTTCTGCTTTTTCCCATCTAAGAAGTAAACCAGTGTGATATATTGAAATGATGGATTGGGGAAGAAAGTCGGCGCAGGATAACGTGTTAGAAGACACGGGTTCCAAGTGGGCTTCGGTTTTCTCATCTGAGAACTGGGCTGGGAAACCTGTCTGGACCTTGGCGTTCCTTGTAGTACTGCTTCCCTGCAATTCAGGGACTTTGAGTATCTTGTGAAACTTTTCAGTAATCTGCTTTGGGCAGACCCTTGTGAAAAAGGTTTAGAAGCCCCAGTGACAAGTGATGTGTGGAGCTGCCATGGTGGAGCCCTGTAGAAGCGGGGGCAGAGTGCTCCCTGCTGTCATGGCGGCTCATCTTGCATGTTTGAAGGCAGGCTGTCTTGCCTGGGGATGGGGGATTTCTTCCAAGGGTCAGGCTCAGAGGAAGCTGGCTTGGCCTCATCACCAGGAAAGAAAGGCATTTAAAAACAAAATCAGTGTTAGAGTTGAACCTTTTGAATTCCTCTCATCTCCAGATGGCAAGTATATTTTAACTTGTGGGTCAAGTCCAAGCAGTTGCTATTGGCTGTAAGGAGTTCTCTGTTGCAGATTCTAAAGGGTGCCATGACTGATTGTTGATGTCTGCCCTGGATGTAGAGGTGGGCAGTGGAGCTAGGCATGCTGTCAGTTTGATACCTCTGACCTCCTTATTTTATAGAGGGGCAGACAAAGGCCTGGGGAAAGGATGAGAGGTACCTAGGGTCACCCAGCAAGTTGGTGACATTTTCTTTCATGACATGAAGGGCCCACTCAACCTCACAACCCCTGCCTCCTACCTGCTTCTGAAAGCATATCAAGGAGGGAAAGCTGACCCAGGGACCTGGCTGGGTGGGATGCTGGCTAGAGCTGTGCCTTTAAGTGAGCTCCTGCCGCAGAGTGCATTCATTGTGCTGGTCACTGGGCATGGGAGAGTTGACATGTTCCTGGGGCACTTGGCAGGGGAGTGCTGGGTGCTGTGGTGCCGAGGGCCTCCTGAGTGCTTCGCTCACCCAGCCTCACTCTGGGCTCAGAGACGGGCTCTGTTGCGGAGTAGAATAGCGTTCCTGTTCAGTTACCCAGTGCTGCACCATGAGGGAGCCTCCCCAAGTCCACACTGGCCCTTTAATAGCCATCAGACAAACAATGTTCCCAGTGACACAAACATTATCCAAGGCACTTCCCATGGAGGAGCCCGGGTCATGGACACGCAGATGGCATTTGGCAGCTTCTCCTGTTGGAGCCAGGAGGGGCATCAGTGCCCAGGAGGCTGGCTGCCAAGTTCACAGTGGTTGCTGCTGCTTCTCTGCTACCCAGAGAGTTCCCTGTGCGGAGGAGGGTGTCTCTCACTGCAAGAAAGAGTGTCACCACCGTTGGAGCTGGTGTGTGGTTTGGGGACAAGACCAAGAGCTTCCTTTTATAGCAAGAACAGCAGAGATGATACTAAACTTGATAACTGTTGCATAAAACCAGAATTGAAAGAAAGGAAGTTAACAGATGCCTGCACCCACCTGACAGGCTGCGTGAACAGCTCTGTACGGCAACCCCAAGAAGGAAGGGCAGAGCCACACCTGAGGTTTCAGGGGTCCTCTGGGAGAAATAGTAAACACAAGGCACTGC